TGGTATCAGAGCCCGTTTATTCCTCCGACGTATTTTTTTTTTTACAAATATATTTATGTATTTGTTACGTAAAATACATTCTATTGATTAACTAAGTGTTAAATTAGAATGAGTGTCATTCATGAATATGTAATCATGAAGATGACATAAAGTGAAAAAAAAAATGATATGGGGAAATAATTAGGTTTTGTTGCCTAATTAGTGTATAAATAAATATTTTAATGTGAAGAAGATACAAATGATTTTACCAATCTCTTTATTATATCTTCTTCTTTCATATTATTTGACTAATAATAATATTTTTTATTATTATGGTTTTTAAATATTTATATGGTATTCATGTTTACCATTAAATAAAGATTAGTTTGAAATTATCATAATATTTGTTATTATGATAAAAAAATATAAATAATATTTTAGTAATATTGTTTATTTTTGTAATTATTATTTAAATTATCTAAGTGATATTTAAATAATTATTTAGCATGATACATGAATATATGTTATCCATGTTACGAGACTTAAGTATCTTTGTGATGTTTATAATATTTAATATGATACATGAATATATGTTATTTATGTTATGGAATTAAATATCTTTGTGATGTTTATATTTTTGTTTATTTGTTAAACAATAACATGAATAAATGAATATGTTTCATTAGAATAAGGTTAATTAAATTATATTTATTTTTGTTTGTGTTATTTGTGATGATTATGAGCTTGGCGAAATTTTCGAACTCGTGACATAAACAAAAATAAAAATAATAATTTAATTATATTGACCGCATTCCTAAATCCATTTTATATACTTGTAGATAACAACTAAATCCATGATTGGAGATTTGTCCTCCAACGAAAAGCTAGATGATACCAATTACGACATCTGGCATAGGAAGATTTAGTATCTTCTTAATGAACGCGAGGTTTCGGAAACCTTGTCCACTACTGTGATTGAGCCAAAGGATACTGCCAGTGCGCAGTACAAGGAAGAATTGACAACCTATCAGACGTGGTCCAAAAAGGATCGTTCTACACGCTATACTATGTTGTATTGCATGCGTAATGACCTTATTGGAGAATTTGAGAATTGTCTCACGGCTAAAGACATGTGGGATAAGCTTAAGGTCACCTTCGGACAAACTTCGGCTACTAGGCTCCGTGCCTTGAACTTAAAGTGGATGGATTACAATATGGATCCTAAACACTCTGTTGGCCATCATTTGCGTGTCATGAGTGCCATGATACGTGACCTGAAAGCTGTGGGACGAGATGTATCTGACGAGGAGCAAGTTCTAAATGTGGTTCGTTCACTTCCAAATGATTCTGAGAATTGGAAGAACTTCAAGCTCCTCATGGCTCATAGCGAGAATGTAAAAACTTTTTCAGAACTCGCTAAACATATTGAAATGGAAGTAGAACGTCAGAGAACGTTAGCACCTTCCAATGTTGCATTTGTTGCCCATGGCGGCCAAGCCAAGGGAAATAAATGCAAACGAGCCAAGAAATTTTCTCGTCATTCTCAAACTTTTGGATCAAATGGTGGTTCAAAAAAACAACTTATGGCACATGGCCAAAGGGAGAAGAAAATAGCGCGTGTGAAGTGCTATAATTGTGGACAGAAATGTCATTTCGCTCGTGATTGTGCTGAGCCAAAAAAGATACCTTCTACCACTAACTCTTTTGAACTATTTGTTTGTTCTCATGCATTAGTTGCTAATTCTATTCCTAATTGGATTATAGATACGGGAGCAAGCAAGCACATAGTTCATGAAAGATCTGGATTTGTGGAGTTCCACCGGTTTTCTGTTGGCACTTAAACTGTCATGTTAGGAAATGGGAGCGAGGAAGATGTCCTTGGGGTTGGAACATACCAACTTAAACTCCATGGTGGAAATACACTACTCCTGCATGATACTCTCTATGCACCTGGGGTGCGAAGTTGTTTACTTTCAGTTGTTTCCTTGTTAAAACTTGTTTTTTTCTTTAACTTCAATACTTTCGGTTTGGACATTTTGTATCATGACAATTTATTCGGACATGGTATTTTAAAGAATGGTTTCTTTGTTCTTGAATTGGATGAAAGTTATAATGACTCATCACATGCTTTTGCTTCATTTTATAATGTTGATTCTGAATCTGTTAAATGGCATGCGCAACTTGGTCATATTGGTCAAGATAGAATGTCAAGACTAGCTAAAGAAGGACATTTGGGACAATTAACTAAGGTTAAATTGCCTAAATGTGAACCTTCTCTAGCTGGAAAAGCTACTAAAAAGCCTTTTGGTAAGGCTTCAAGAGCATCAAATCCTTTAGAGTTGATTCATTCTGATATTTGTGGGCCTTAAATATAAAAGCTCGTCATGGGGCTACATATTTTATTACCTTTATAGATGATTATTCACGTTATGGGTATGTGTACCTATTATCTCATCGACACGAAGCACTTGATATGTTCAAACGTTTTGTGGCCGAAGTTGAAAACCAAAAGGAACGAAGAATTAAGACTCTTCGTACTGATCGGGAACGTGAATACCTCTCTGATATGTTCAAAGAGTTTTGTGAGACTAAATGTATTTCAAGGCAACTTACGGTTCCTTATACTCCGCAACAAAATGGTGTTGCTGAAAGAAGAAATCGTACATTACTGGACATGGTTAGGTCGATGATAGCGCAAGCCAATCTCCCTATTAAATTTTGGGGAGATGCGTTGCTTACAGCAACATACATCCTTAATCGTGTACCAAGTAAAAGTGTGTCACTCACGCCATATGAGTTATGGAATGGGAAATCACCCATTTTGGACCATTTGCGCCCTTGGGGTTCGGCTGGCTATGTGCATAACCAAACTCACAAGTATGGGAAGCTTAGTCCAAGATCTACCAAAATGGTGTTCATTAGAAACCCTGAACATTCAAAAGGGTATGTTATGTTTGGTGAACATCCAGATGGTGGAATGACTGAGATAGACTCACGCAATGTCGATTTTCTTGAGGATGAGTTCCCAAGTATTGGTGAAATTAAGAGAGACCTTCAGTTGTATGAGTTACAACAAGAAATGCAATTATCTTTAGGAGATGAGGGGGATATGTTACCTCAACAGGTCTCCAAAGATAATGAAGTTCTTCAAAATTCCATTAGTGAAATACAAGTATCTTTAAGAGATGAGGGGGATGTGCTACCTCAACAAGTCTCCAAAGATAGTGAAGTTCTTCTAAATTCCACTAGTGAAAAACAAACTCAAAATGAGGATGAGCCTCATAGAGAAGAGCACGAGATAAATCATCGAGCTCATAGTCCCATGCCTCTCGAGGACAGTGGGAGAAATTTTTCTACTAGTCTGGAAAATAATGAAGGTCCTACTTTGAGAAGGAGTGATCGTGGAAGAATTCCTCGTCGATTTTTTCAAATTGAGGAGGATGTATTTCTTTGTACTCCTTTAGAAGTAGATGAACCGAACTCTTATATAGAGGCAATGAATTCACCATATAATTCAGAATGGAAAGATGCAATGAATGATGAGATGGACTCAATGATTAAAAATAATGTTTGGGAACTTGTTGACCTTCCACCTCATCGTCGATCAATTGGATGTAAGTGGATATTCAAAATCAAGCGTGGGGTGGATGGATCAATAGAAAAGTTCGAAGCTCGTTTAGTAGCGAAAGGTTTCACCCAAATTGAAGGTATAGATTACGATGAGACATTTTCTCATGTGGTGAGATTTGCCTCTATTTGTCTTCTTTTAGCCCTGGTTGCCCATTTGGATTTAGAATTATTTCAAATGGACGTAAAAACAGCTTTCCTCAATGGTTCTCTTGAGGGAGAGATATATATGGATCAACCTATTGGGTTTGTCCCAAAAGGGCAAGACAATAAAGTTTGTCGCCTCAAAAGATCCATATATGGTCTCAAGCAGTCTTCCAGACGATGGTATCTCAAATTCCATGACGCCATTTGTGCATTTGGTTTGACCATGGTTGATGAGGATCATTGTGTGTATGTCAAGAAAAGTGAAGAAGGAATTTTGTTTCTTTCTTTCTTTATACGTTGATGACATATTGTTGGCTGGAAACGACATGGGAATGATCAACGACACTAAGCAGTGGTTGTCCTCTAACTTTGAAATGAAGGACATGGGTGAAGCTAGGTATGTCCTAGGAGTGGAAATAATGCGAAATCGTCCTAAGAAACTTCTTGGTTTGTCTCAAGAAACATATATTAAAAGAATCTTAGAACATTTTCGAATGCATTATTCCAAACCCGTTGATACTCCAGTCGAAAAGGGTTTAACCTTTAAGTCTTGATCAATGTCCGAAAACAGATGAAGAAAAACATAAAATGAGCAATGTTCCATATGCTAGTGCAGTAGGAAGCTTGATGTATGCCATGTTATGTACACGACCAGACATCTGCTTCTCGGTTGGCTTGGTAAGTCGTTACCAAAGCAACCCTGGGCCTGCACATTGGCAAGCTGTCAAGAGAATCTTGCGGTACCTGCGTGGTACAAGTGACTTGGTACTTTGCTATCAAGGTGGGTCCTTGAAATTAAAAGGATACTCGGATGCTGATTGGGGTGGCGAACTGGATGAGTCAAAGTCAACTTCAGGATATGCATTTATATTCGGTGGAGGTGCAATATCCTGGTGCAGTAAAAAACAAGATTGCATAGCCCTTTCGACTATGGAAGCTGAGTATGTTTCCAGTAGCGTTGTCGTTCAAGAGGCAATATGGTTGAGGAACTTTCTACAGGATCTCAACCTCACCCCAAAGGTTGATGAACCTGTAGAAATGCATTGTGATAATACTGCTGCTATCCAGTATGCCCAGGATCTGAAGTTTCATAGAAAAACCAAGCATATCAAAAGGCGTTATCATTTTGTACGAGACGCAATAAAAAATAAAGAAGTTGTCATTAAGTATATACCCAGAAATAAAATGATAGCTGATCCTTTAACTAAACCTATACGCAGAGATGCTTTCCAAATCATGTGAAGAGTCTTGGTTTGCGTAGGTTTTAATTTTATTTTTGTGGGATAATTGATGTGTATAATGTTACACCGTACATATATGAAATTTGTTGTTCTTTGATATGTTCTTTAGCATATGTTGCATAATTAGGCATGAGTAAACATGTCACCAGGCTTTTGATTACGCTTATCACACATGTAATCGCCCTATCACATGAGTTGTGAGTAATAGGATAAGACTATGTCATATTCATATTAAGTGTATGTAATATGAATTGTATTTATACTTTTATTGTATAAATATATCTTTGCAGTCGCCTTAGTAAGTCTAAGATGAGACTCTAACGAGTCGAATATGAAATAATCCTGATTTCATATCAAAGCCTTGAAGCCGAATCTCGAGTGGAAGATAAATTATTAAGTATATTTATCAAGTGACTCGGGTTAGATACTTGAGTAGTATCTAGACTATAGATTCGAATAACATAGTAGAGTGACATGCCCATCACAGTGGGAGCTATGTTATGACACGTATATCATACTGCGTGTGCTTTGAACGACCGTTAAGGATTGACAAATGATTCCCTACTTTGTCAAAGTGTGAATCCTATGGATTTTGTTGTGCAACTTTGTACGAAGCCTTTTGACTTAGAACTATGTTATGAAATTGAGACTTAGTGTTGCTACTTTAATATGTCATCCAAGAGCTATGAATGATACAGTTCGACGGAGCATGTTAGGAAAACAACTAAGTTGCGATGAAAATTCATTAGTGTCTAAGAAATAACTGATTCAACTTCACCACATTAGCCCGGGCGGTTATATTTGGATATAACCATGTTGTATATAGCACAAAGGGACTGTGTATGCTATCGATGATTTTTGAACAGTTAGAGGTTGTCGTAAGTATGAAAGTGTTATGTTAGTTAGATGGTGACTTAATATAACATTATTATTATTGCTTTTGGTCGCACGTTCTATTACCCGTATGAGGCAAGAGATTTGCTAATAAAGATTTATTGGTATAGTCTCAGCTTAAGTGGCTGAGTGGGAGTATTGTATTTAATTGATGTTAAGTTGCATCAATTGGTAACATCCACTTAAATGTGGTGGTGTTACAATCTCATCTCCATTAAGTATGGAGTTATGAGAAGTGTGTTAAGTCTTCATTTAATTTGAGTTCCATGAGACAAGTATAAATATGATGCTTTGTGCATCATGAAAAGACACACTACGAGACAAAGAAATAAACTAGGAAAATATACAAATATCTTTATATAGTGTTTATCTCTTGTTGAGTCGAAACCATCAAGGCGGCTCGGGTTTTAGAAAGTGGAGGATACTGACGACTCTAGTAGCCGTCGGATAAAAGATATACGGGCAAGTAATCGCTTCCGCTACATAAAGGTTAGTCCTATATATTTATATATGTGTTATATAAAACCACTAACAATCTCCTTTTAGATTTCAAATAAGGCTCAGGGGAAAGAAGGTATGGGTGGTCCGGGAACAACACCGGGAGAGGGCTCGTAGCCCCCCGCTCTCTCTTTCCAAGCGAAACTTATTCGAATACATGAAACTATATAAGATAATTAAATAAGTTATAAGCTAACTTATTTAGGTACTAAACATAGTCGTAACACATGATGGAATTGAAAAATATATATACATGCGAAGGGGAATGAGACTCACAAATATGCTTCCTAAGCATTCAAGATCCCTCCACCCCCGGAAGCATAATTTACGCCATACAATATAGCTTTTCCGGTAGTTGTTGGGGCAAGATATGGCGGAGCGTAATTTGGCTCCCGTAATTCCTCCTCTAATAAAGAAAATTAAAAAGTTAAACATCGTATCAATCATTTTCATCATAATTTGGCACATGAACTTTAAGAATGGGAGAAGAGAGTGCGGTTCTACACAGACGAAACGGACCATAAGAGAGTGAACCTAGATGAACGTTAGTGAGGTTTCATCCCATAACTAATCGGTGATGGGAGGAGAGTATGCCTAATGCTAGGCCCATTTTCTCTATAAAATCAATGTGAGGCAACTCACAAGCGATATTCCAGCATCAACTTAATCTCAACGAAGCAATAGAAAGAATATATGGTTATACTGTATCTTACCGACAATATCTCCTATCGTTCGACCATTTGTGAAACGACCGGTCGGCTTTCCACCTAAAGCCTTGAAATCAATCCCATTTGGTGGAGTATCAGCCTTTGACAATGTTTGCAGATAATTATTATTGCCCGCATCAACCAAAGAATCCCCAAAAATGAATGAAGCACCCTTTGACAAATCTATATCATCATCCAACTGTGAACTAATAACAACAATTGACTTCAAGTGTATGACCAAAAAGAGCAAAGCTACAGTGAAATGAAAGCCTCGCGACATATTTTTACTGTTAATAATAGATGAAATTAGCTGTTAAGGACACTCAGTGGAGAATTTTGAAGAACTGGAGTTAATTACTTGGGTTTTTATATAGGGAATGTATGTGTAAGTTGTGTTGGTGGAGTTAGGTCATCAAGATTTTGGTGATATGGTATCAACGTATGATATATGTAGGCTAAAATCATCAGTTGATTTTGTTTGTAATTATCTAGAGGTGACCAACTGTCGGGCTGCGATCCGACCCGCCAGGTCTGCGGGCCTCACTATTATGGCCCATGACCGGCCCGAAATAAGCTATGAGCCGATTCATAAAATCAGCCTTGAACTGCCGGTTCACTAGCTCGACGGGTCTTAGACGGTTTCAGACTGGTACGACCCTTAAAAAACCGAAAAAAAAACATTGTGACCCGTGGCCCGGCCCGGACCGACGGGTCAAAAATAAAAATTTATGAACGGGACCGAACCACGGTCCTAAGGGTCCTATTCAACGAACCGGCTCTTAAGAGGCCAGTTTAGGGCCGGGCCGGGCCGAGACTGGTTCACTGGCCTGTTCGACCCGTTGACATGTCTATAATTATCAGGCAATATCAATCAGAGATTAATTATTACAAAGAAAGTACATAAATTATTCAGTTATGTATTGCATCGGAGAATGTTTTTCTAAACTAAGTAATAATATAGTTAAAGAAGGTATTGGTGAACTAAAAAGACGATAGGTGTCACCAATTAGTGGCATATTCTCTTTTTTTTTTTTTTGTTTTTAATTTGCATGCATGACGTCTAAGGCACTCTCTGTAACTTAAAACGGTGCACAAATATAAATAAAATATTATAAGTTATATTTGTGAATAAAATATTAAATCTCTCCTTATATATTAATTCAAAACATGTTGAGTTTAGGTGGCAGATTCTCACGTTTCGGATGCTGACATGGCGAAAATCTATGCTTCGTGATATTTTTATGTTATTTTTGCTCTAGAGTTAGGTTTGGTATTAGACATAAATAACTTTACACATGTATTCATTAACTCAACACACATATTGTACATGAGTATTAGTACTAGTTATAAATTAGATACGAAGACTCCTTACCTCTGAGGAGTTTGTATATATATATACACAAGAACTCAGAGAAGGTTGCTACAATTATTGAGTTTCAAGTTCAAGACAATCTCTGAGAGGTCGTGAGCTTTAGTTTGATTTGTTAATTGTTTAGTTTTTAGCAATTTAGTGTGTGTTCTTACATCACCGTAGAGCTGTTATTGTTCTTTACTCATAAGTTTTTTGAATGCTTAGTGATTAAGTACTTTCGTAGTGAGGAGGAATCCAATAGCTATTTTGAAGTTAACTTGTGGCCATGGAAGTAACTAGCGGAGTTGAGTATAGTGTTGGTAGGATTAAGAGGGATTCCTATTATCGCAAGCTCAAGCTATACATTGTGCGTACAAACCGATCTATTAACAAAAAAACTTTGAGAAGTAGAAAGACGTTCACAGACTTGTTTATTCATAGTTTTCGCTTTTTATGGAGTTTTTTCAATACAAGACCTGAAAGATGGGTAAACTATCAATTCGGGGTCTGAAAGATTTTTTTCTCAATTCGGGACCTAAATGTTATAAAACTATCAAATTAAGTCCTAGAATTAACAAAACTCATAACACCATTAAATTGAGAGTTAATTTGAAGTTTTAAAACACCAAATATATTACAAAGTAAAAAATGAAAAAAAAATAAGGAAAATAAAAAAAATTAAGGAAAATACAGGATTGTTGGAGAAAATAAAGGAAAGTATGAAACTCTTGCTCGGTTTTCTTGCTATCGTCCATTTTTGTTTTTTGTTTTTTTTTTTATTATGCACATGTTTACTTATTATTTTATGTGAATAAAAACCAATCTTTTATTTTTCTTTTTTTAACTCTCAATTTAATGGTGTTATTGGTTTTGTTAAGTTTAGGATTTAATTTGATAGTTTTATAACATTTAGGTCCCAAAATGAGAAAAAAAAAATCTTTCAGGCCACGAACTGATAGTTTACCCATCTTTTGAGTCTTGTATTGATAAAACTCCCATTACAAATAGTGAATGTACTAAAATAAATTATAAATATATTACGTAAAAGTTTTAGACTATACTATTCGTCTTCCGACTTACTCTGCATGTCATTGGCATAAAATAACATAAGATAATTAATCGTAACTAAATTTTTCTTAGACTTTTTTTACAAATTATATTGAAAGGGAAACTAAAATCATGTAAAAAAAACTATTTCAGGCGTTATGTATGTGGCAAAGAAATTATTTGTTGGACCAATATGTTAAGTGTTTTAGTGACAAGAAAAATCAATCTATTAATAACTTAAAATTTTACAGAAATAAATAAATTCATTATTTAATGAATAATGTAAATTAAATTTTTTTCCTAATTTTATAATAATATATACCATGTTATGTTATTGATTTATGCATCAAAGTCACTGTCGTTCTGAAAATACTATTCCCATGTCACACACGGAATTAATATTGGGCCTAGAAGGCCCACCAACAAAGAGTACCCCAAGTGTGAAGTTAGTGAGCTGAATTGAGTTGGTCAAGCTATGCTCTCATTTCCCATTTTCCCTATTTAGACCAAGCTGTAATTAGACATGGCTAAATTCCGGGCTGGGCCGGTCTCTGAGTTTGAAGTGGCCGACCCTAAAATACACGACCCGACAGGCCAGGGATCTAAGACCTGTCCTAAAAAATTTGTAAAAAAAAAAAGCGATGCAAATTTTCTGGTCTGGTCTAGCTCACCGCACATTTTGTTTTCTCTCTCTAACACACACACACACACACACATATTTTGTTCTCACCACCACCACCACCACCACCACCACCACATGTTGTTTGGGCGTAGCCAGAAATAGTTTCAACCCTGGGCTGCTAGACGAATTTTTAAGGAGTATAACTGATGTAGGAAGCGCACGATGGGATTTCTGATAACAGAGAAAATCTCAAAACAACGTTTTATTTCATAAGCAATAATCTGCAGAATGACAAAGAGAGAGAGCCTTATATGCTCGATACTTTACGACCTAACAATAAATCTTAAAAAAAGCCCAAATGACACAAGCCCAATAATAATACTAAATAAAAGAACATAAATAATAAAAGGGTTGACATAGACGGTAGGCGTTCAGATTAATTTTCTCAATGATCTCCACAGGCCCAATCTTCCGGGCGGCTAGCTTATTATACTCGTGGGCCAAAAAACAGTCCTTTGTCAAGACAGCCCATACGAAATCGCCGACGTCGAACTCCAAATGCCGCCGGTGCGCGTCAGCCCGCCGCTTGTATGCGGCCGTCGTGGCGTCGAGATTCGGACGGACCACGTCGTGGGTGCGCCGCAGCTCGGCCATCAAGTCCTCGACCCTCTTATCTTCGAGCCCGGACGACGGCAAGGTGATCAAATCCGCTGGTCCCCGAGGAAGCATCCCGTACACCACCTAATATGGGTTGTGCCGAGTGGCACGACTCAATGCCGAATTGTGTGAAAACTCGGCCTGGCTAATCCAGAGATCCCACGAACGCAAATTATCCCCAACGAGGCAGCGAAGCAAGTTCCCCAAAGAGCGGTTGACGACCTCAGTTTGGCCGTCAGTTTGGGGGTGATAAGCACTGCTAAAGTCGAGCCTAGTGTTCGCTTGGCGCCACAAACTACGCCAAAAGAAACTGAGAAAGCGTGTATCGCGGTAGGAGACAATGGACGTGGGTAAGCCATGCAAGCGATATACCTCACGAAAGAAAAGTTGAGCCACGTGCACTGCATTAGTTGATCACTTGCAGGGGATGAAGTGGGCCATCTTAGAAAAGCGATCAACAACCACGAAAATGGAATCATTACCTCGTTGCGTATGCGGAAGACCAAGGACAAAGTCCATGCTGATGGCACACCAAGGTTGCGAGGGCACTGGAAGGGGGCGATACAACCCAGCGTTCGAAGCCACTCCTTTCGAAACCTGACAAACTCTGCATCTCTCCACAAAACGCGAAAAATTGTGCCTCAAAGTAGGCCAAAAGAAGGAGCGCTGCACGAGCTCGACTGAGCGATCGCGGCCCATATGTCCTGCTCCATGCAAATCCCCAATAAGTTTAAGCCGAAGGCTGCCATCCGGGACACACAAACGGACTCCTTTAAAAAGGAATCCCTCACGCACAATAAAATCAGCAACTGGGCCCGCAGCTAAACGCACAAGAATGGGGCCAAAGAAAGCATCAGAGGCATATTGATCACGCAATAAATCAAACCCAGTGACAGCAACTCGCATATCAGTCAGGAGAAGAGAACGTCTACTCAAAGCATCAGCCACACGATTCGACGTACCTGACCTATGTTTGAGGACGAAAGTGAACTGCTACAAGAACGAAGTCCAAGACGCATGTCGGGCAGAGATGTTATCTTGAGACGAGATGTAACGTAATGCCTCATGATCAGAGAACAATACAAACTCACGATGAAACAAATAGTGCCGCCAATGACGTACAGCACGCACTACGGCATAAAGTTCCACATCATAAGTACTATAACGTGTTCTCGGGCCTGACAACTTCTCGCTGAAAAAGGCCACTGGTGACCGCGCGTCGCAACGCGACAAAATTAATATTTATATTTTTCCTTAACTTACTTCTACTAGCTAGTAGTAGTGGCAAGTAAGGGTCGATCCCACGAGGAGTGTGAATTAAACTGTGAATTTCTTGTATTAACTGAATTTATTATGAAAGCAATAAAAGGGGGGATTGGATTTAATAACTAAACTAATTGAAATAATAATAAAACAAATAAAATCTAAACAAACGAAATAAAAATAAAAATAAAATAAATAAGAGAAATTTCTAGTTCACGGTTCCGTCTACACCCTCGACCGACTCATTTAATCAATTCTGGTATCAAATCTCGCTATCTATGGAATTACTAGCCCTAGGTAACGCCACGGGCTGTTACCCGAATTTTTCCTTATTTTTAAT